GCAGCAATGTAGTTCCCAGGACAGCTCCAATCTCTCTTCTCTCTTTGTGGTGAATCTGAATATGTGTATGAGAGTAATGGATGAAGTGAATGTGTATGTCTGCCTCCTTCTTGAATGAGTGTGCAACTATTTATTTATAGAGTGCAATTTCGTCCTCCTCTTTGGTTGGTGAAGCTCACCTCTCTTAGCTGCTCCCAACTGCTCCAGCTGCCTATATTTGCCAACTGCTCCAGCTGACATACTTGTCAACTGCTCCAACTGCCAAATACATGCTTTGGTATGGTTTCTTTAAGGAAAGCTTGACTTTTGTTCATCTTTCTGAGTTCCTGAGCTGATTTGACTCTCATGTGTGGCTGCCCATGTGTAGCACATGGCTCTAGGGATGTAGCCACATTAAATGTGATGGCAGCCAACATGACATTTTTGTGAACTTGGTTCAGTCTTTGACGTACTGAGGGCTCCAGATTTATCCAATTGGGCTGAAATTTGGATATGTGATAATAGACACCCATTGGAACAACTTCTATCAAGGATGTCTCCTTATCCGACCTGTGTAAGTTGCTGAAATGAGGCCTGGAAGATGACCTATGAAACTGAACTGACAAGGAGTGTGGCCCAAATTGGGTTTGTCTTTAAGCTCATATTCCTCTTATCCCAATCAGCCCTTAACATGCATGAATTGTATCAAATGTCATCCCCTTGCTGTCTTAACCTACAAAACACACAAACATAGGTAAGAGACTCAAAATAAAGAGAAGCTAAACAAAATTACTAAGCAAAGAAGGCATGCAAATGTGTGAAATTATGACCTTATCAAGTTGTCTCGAATTGGAAGTCTCAAATGTATTAATTCTAAGAAAGATTAGTGTATAATGGTTTTAAAAAAAAAACTTTATTAATTAGCATATGGTAAATGGCTATTTTTGTTCTGGGGTAGGTGAATGAGTTTTTTTTTTTTTTTTGGTTAAAGGTCAATGATAAGCCCATATGCTATAGGAATGACTAACATTTACGTTTTTGTCATTTTCCTTAATTTTTCTTTTTTTTGCACCACTATAAACCCCCACCCATAACCGACACCAGTCGCCACCCGCTACCCGCCAACACCCTCTTCCGCCGCTGACACTAGTCACTGCTACCATCCTTCGCTGCCACCCATTAACCACCATCTCTGGCCACCACCCACCACCAGTTGTCATGTGACACAATTTTGGGGGTGTTGGTGGTATTGATTGGGTTGGTGAATTCAGAGGCATAGAAGGAGAAAGCGAGATGGAGAGAATGGATTCCAGCGAGGATGGGCCAGTCAGATCATCAAGGAGTTCAGATCCAACCCGACGTGGTTCCCGTTGATATGAGATGCATGACTTGTTGCACGATGCAATCATAGGCGTCGAGGGAAGAGAGAGCTTGAACAAGAGGCAAGACAAGGAAGTGTAGTGGAAAGGTGAGAAGATAGCGGAGGAAAAAGCCTGAGAGAGCGTAGGATACGTCGATGGTGGGAGATTGGGGGTTGGAAATGAAGTTGGAGTTTGAACTCGACATGGATGTTGAATTTAAAGGCGACAAAACCCGACCTGGATTTTGATGAGAGAGGAGGAGGAAAAGAGAGAAAGGAAAGAGAGAGTGTAACACCCTGACCCAACAAATTGTTTTATCTAATTAATTAATTGTATAATTACATGTTTGTCCCTGGGAGTAGGGGCACTTTAGTTGCTTTTTGTTCGGGAAAGAATTTGGGAAATTGAGCGGCACCATTGTGTAGAACTCGTTGATACGAGTTCATAAACAGGGGGCAGGTTCAATTCGAAGTTAAAATGAAGAATAAACTTTCAAAATACTAATGTTTTCAATAATACTTTTGGCGGTTTATATTCCTTACATTTTAAATAATCAAACATGATTTTATGAGATTTTAGTATAAAGTATATACATTGACTTGTTGAGGTATCAATATTGATATAAACTGTATCTTATACTAAAACTGGATTTTAATATTTTGATTTGCATGGGAATTTTAATTTCTAGTATTTCTAGTATTTTCAATGGGGGATGAAAATAAGGGAATATAAGGCAATGGGCGGGCAGAAGGTTTTAAATCCTAAGCACAAGCCCTACCCAACCTTAGAAGGTTGAGCCGAGCGGGCCTAATTAACCATCGGGTCAGGCTGAACTTTGGCCCATTAAGCCTCGAGTTACCCACTTTGGTCCGTGGACTACGAGCCAAATGATGATATCCCTATTTTAGATCATCCATTCCAGCTTATTTATATCAGCCTCAAGTGATTTTAGTATTTTCTCAATTACTTGTTTCTCCTTTTAGTTCTTTGTTCAATTTCTAGACTACTAAATGCTGTCTTGTACCTAACACACTAAATAAAACAAGGAATTCCCTTGGTAATGATAGCCAAAATCATCATCATCATCAGTAATATGATAAAAGTAGATATAACACAAACATACCCAATCATATGATGCACTAGTTTCCGAAGTTCTTTCTGAAATGTCACGAGATGTCATGCCCCTATAATTCAAGACCTTTAAGTTGGTCCTTCTATCCAAAGTGAAAAGGTCCACAAGCTTGGGATGATGGTACATCTTTGCCAAGTGCAAAGGAGTATTTCATCTGTTGTCTTTTTGGTTTATCAACATTTGAAACTCAACATTCTTGAAAAAATATTTGACAAGATTGTCCTCGCTACATCTTGCTGCAACATGGAGTATATTTTGGTCGTTTGAGTTCCTCAGCTCCATTGAATCGGGACAATGTTGAAGTAGCTCTTTAACAATGTTGACATGACCTTTGCTTGATGCATAATGGATCGGAAAGTTGCCACAATGATCCTTTCGATGAGAATCCACGAGACGTTTGCCTAAGAAGCGAACCCCTTCTAGATAACCAATTGATGCTGCATAATGCAGTGGAGTCCTCCCTGTCTCATCTTTTGAGTTCAAAATATTTGCTTCCATGTTTGATATTATCTTTAGGACTTCTGGCGTCAGTAAATGAATCAAGCATAAATCAGAACAACATGATTGTAATAATAATGTTTTTCTATAAAGATGTTGTAATATCTATCAAAATCTATCACTGTTGCTGTGACAACAAGAAAAGTCACATTAATATAGGCCCTTACAATTTAAAAACTCTAGACCATAACCCACCAATAATAAAACCTTTAAGTAAAACTCAATTTTAAATTTAGATGCCATATTAAGGGAGTTTCACTAAAACACCCAAAATGGGGGTTGAAATTATAAAAAAACCCAAGCACTATTTAAACATATAAACACACCCAAAACCCATCATTATACACACTCAAAACCCATTTATAAACACACCCAAAAAGTTGACTTTGGGGTTGATTTTGGGTGTGTTTCTATGTTTAAATAGTGCTTGGGTTTTTTTATAAATACATGTCTAGAATTGGGTTTA